TATATATATATATATATATATGGTTATAAACCACCATGCAGGTACTAGGAATTGAACTGGGATCCTCTGCAAGAGCAACTTAGCCATTTCTCCAGCCACCCCTCAACCCAGTGGGTTCAGAGGATGGTGTTCAGGTCCCCATGCTGGCAAGGCAAGGACTGTACTGACGGAACCCCCTCCCTCACCTGACAAGCTTTCACAGGACTGGCAGAGACCAGAAGGTTCTGACGTCGCACCTGGAATTAGCCACAATTCCTCCTACTGGTGAGAGGAAGACCCCCGGAAGCCAACACCAACTTCCTCACACAACTTCAATTTAAATTAAACTTCCTTTAATGAAATAAAAAACAAAAAACAAATGGTGCATTGCATAATATTTGTGGCCACAGTATAAAACAACACAATTAGTTTGTATAACACTGGATATGGACAAAAATACACAAGACCTTCTCTTTGTCTACGGAAAAGTCTGCAGATTCTCGTGTTATACGCTAGAAAAGAAACCCAACCTTGTTCTCCTGGTGATCTGCACGCGTGTGTGTCACTGAGAATATGGTCACACAGTGGAGAACTTACCTAAACCCTAATTCCCTTCTTCCTCTGTTGTCATCGGTGAAGCTAAAAAAGGAAAAAAAAAATTCCCCCAGAAGTAGCGAGTCGTGTAGTATTGCTTATGGTTCCTGCTCCAAAGGCGCAGTCTTTGGCTCACAGATGCCGTCACAAAATCATGGCTGCAGGCGGTCTGCAAAGCAGGAGGCAAAAGCCACCAGAGAGACAGACAGAGGTCTGGGCAGGAGGAAGCCCTGCGGCTGGGAGGGGGAAGACACACACACACACCGGGACATTTCTAAATGAGGATTTAATCCAGCTGGTGAGTCAGGGGGCCAGCATATCCCATGCATGAAAAATCGGAAAAGTTGTTAAAAAGCCAGAGTTTGCATTTTTCTTATTTTTTAAAAAAGTGAATCGTGTGTGTAAACATCATAAAGTAAACAATTTAAAGTAATTTCTAGGCTTCAATCTGAATGTAGCTTAGGCTCTTTGGGGGGGGGGGGCGAGGATCTTTGCCATTAGGGGAAAAAACCCAACCTTCTATAAAGTTCCTATTTAAGAAGTGCAATTTCATCTGCCAAGGCGTGGCTTAGCCTTCCCTCATACCAGTACTTCCGGGGAATGGGGAGGTGGGGTGGCGGAGTGTGGCTCAGGAAGAGCACTTCATGGGGGGAACCCTATTTGGTACATCAAGAGTGTTTGACCACACTTAAAAAGACTTGCGTTCCCAGAATGTTAATAGTCCCAAAAGGAACTAGGTCCTGGGGTTTCTGGCCCATCTCCCAGCCCTAAGCAACTTGGGGGTTTGGGCATGGCCAGAAGATAAAGGCCAGCGCCTTGGCAACTCAGGCTCAAATCTCAACACCAGTTGAGAAAGGGAAAGGTAGGCCCGAACACTACTCTGTCTCCCCATCAAGGGCCGGCTTGGACCCATCAGTGGCTGTATGTGCACCCAGGGCCCATCTCACCCAAGGCTAAGTCTCTCTCTCCTCCTAAGGAGGGCTGCGCTACAATGACTCGGAATCTTCTTCAGTAACTGCAGGGCTCAAAGGCTGTCACTAACACAGTACCTGGCTCCACTCCCCTAATTCCTGTTTGTACAGTCACCTGTACCCCACCTCTGAACCAGCAGGAAGGAAGTAACATACAGAAACACCCATATCTGCCAAGGCCTCCCCCTCTTCCGCTGGCCTCTCTTGCTCGCGTGGGGTGCAATGGCTGTCTCCCTTCTGGCTGGGCTGGACCCACCTGGGTTGGACCCTCTGGCTGAGAGACTCCGCACAGGAGCAGAACAGTCGCCAGGTGGGCACAGCCAGCAGAGGAACCTGGGTGGAGAAGACAGAGGCCACCGTGGGCCACAGGGGAGGAGGTGGGGAGGGGGAGGTGGGGAGGGAGCTCAGCCATCCCGGCCCACAGTGACAAAGAGCTGCCTGTGAATGGCCAACGATGTGGATTACTTTATTGCTCAAAACAAAGGAGTCTCTCCCCACCCCACCCCCCACTTTGGAAGACAACAGTGTTAAATCCTTCAGAGCCAGAGGGAAGAGTGAGGGCACCAGTTGGCTGCCAGCCTTGGCACCCAGGGGAGGCTTGTGGAAGGCCAGTGCTGTGTTGGGGTGAGAGACTCGGAGTGGCCAAGGCCCGGATGGAGCAGGCCCTGGGGACCTGAAAGGTGTGTCTGGCTGATGTCCTAATCCCTGCTGGGCCCAGTCAGGCAGCGCCAGCAGCTCGCACCCCTACTTTACAGGCCACTCACATGACAGTAAATTGCTGGGTTCCCTTCATATTCCTAATGCGAAGGCAAACGTCCACAAAATACACCCCTCTTCACTACCCCCTGCAGGGATCTTGAAGACTTCAAGGACTGCAAAGGTCACCGAAAACACACATTTGCTCTAGGCAATTTCTGATTCCTTGAAGCCAGTCAGTACTGCAGGCAGCAATCTGCTTGTGTGTGAAGGAGCTCACGAGGCAAGGGGGAGGGGGTGGGGCACTGTGCCGGTCCCGTGGCAACCAGCAACAGCGCCTCTCAGGAGGGACAGGGGACCTGGCTCAGCTGCCCTCTGCTCCTACCCTCCTGGGTCCCTGGGGGCACAGTGGCCTCGAACTGTCAGGGAGAGAGAGCATCTATTCCTTCCCTTGTCCCCCGTGTCCTCCTGTTCACAGACCTTCTGCCCTGGACAGAGGTGGCAGTGGATTTTTCTTCATACTCATTCTTAAGGCTAAGGTGGCAAGATAAGGTGCTTGGTGGAAAGCCAAATTCTAGACTCCAGGGCTGCCATTTCCTCATTCTCACAGAAACAAACCCGAAAACGGAAGACGCTAGAGAAGAAGGGAAAACACAAAAGGCATGTGGATCAAGAAGTCATGGACTCTTGAGTTTAGGTTCTAATATAGTTTAAACTCCTGAAAATGGGGGATGGGCAGGGTAGTCAAAGCCACAGCTTGCCTTGTAGCAGGTCTTTATCAGCTCCGGGCCAGCGTGGAGGGCAGTAGGTAGCAACTCTACAGATGCCAGTCCCTCGTGGATGGATGCTGGCTCTCGGGTGAGCAGGTACCTACCCTCTCACCCACGATGACCAACTCTGAACGCCTCCACCCTTCCTCACCGCAACCCCTCAAATCAAAAGTGATCAACACACACAAAATCAGAGGGTCAATAAGCCTCTAGGAGAAAACTAATTAGACCAGGGTTAACCATTAAAAAGCTGCAGCTGGGGAAACACACACTCGATTGTTACATGTCAGAAAGTGCCGTGGGAAGAAGAGCCGTGTGCTGCTGGTAAACGTGTCCGCGCTCAGAACTTGACATGCAGAAAAGAGAGAGCGCCAAGTCCCACCTGAGATTAGAGAGGACTGGTTTTAGTGTAACACACTTTGTCTGAAAAGATCACTGGTCCTCTTCTCACCCCTCCCACCATTCCTACAATGTTTCTCTGTCCCTGTCTCCGCGGCCGGCCGCTTAGTCCATCTCCATGGACATGAGCCTGCGGCGCTCCCGACGCGTCTCCCGCACCTCCTTCTTACAGCACCAGTGAGAACTGCAGTACCCGATGAGGCAGGACAGGAGCCCGATGACTGTAGACAGGCCCACGCCGATCAGCAGCGGGTACTTGAAGGCATTCAGCACTGGGCAGGAGAGAAAGCGGAAGGGTTAATGCTGAGAGGGAGGGTGCTGGGGAGCACTGGATCCCTCCCTCCCTCCCCTGTCTGTGTCCCCTCCCAGCCCCCAGTCGGGTCTCTGCAGAGATCAGAGCTCATAAATCCCATATCCTGCACCTGGCACATAATTCAGAAAGGAGTAGCCCAGCTCCATTGAAGAAAATGAGCAAACGTCCCCCCACTCAGTTCTTCAGAGCTGGGCACACCGCAAAGAGATTTTACTTGATGCCTTTGAATGTCAGCTTCTTTTTAGGGTTTTGGCAGGAGATTGATTTTTAAAAGTCAGTATAAGGGCACCGCACATTGAGCAGCAGATGCATCCTTAAAAAAAAAAAAAACCTGAATAAATCAATTCTATGCATCAAATAACTGAAGTGTACTAAAGATGCTATTTTAAGTAACACTATAGTAAATTATCGAGCAAAGTGAATAATCGCTCCCCTCCTTGTTTGGTAAATCTGGGTTTTCATATGGAGTTACTTCAAGCAGAGTTGAAGATGCAAATGAGGCAGAGATGACAGAAGTTGAGGTCCCACCCCAGGAGCATCCCTCCCATCCCATCTTCCCTCCCACAAAGTCCCACTGAGCACCAGCATTCGGTGCAGATGCTGCCCCTGGCCAGGTCCCTACTGTTTAGAATGGTCTAATTTTCCTAACAGCCCCATGCGAGACTACTGTCACATTTTTCAGGAAGTATTGTGGAGCTCTGTCCTCCAAGCTGGGCATGGTTGTTGCCATCTTCAAGTCAGACTGGCTGTGCTCACCTGCTTGAGGCAGGCCCTCTGAAGAACAGGCTTACTAACAGTCCCTTTTGGAGAGGGTGGAGGAGGACCTCATGAGGCCCTCTATTCCAATATGTAAGTGGG